TTACCTCATTAGTTATGTGTTAGTTTAACACATAAGAGCACAACTTTTATTCCCTAGTGAAGGCAAGGCTGCAGGGTTGTGTGTTTTGGAGGAGGGAGAGACTGCATACAAACTAGAGCAGTGGTTCTCAAACTTTTATACCGGTGACCCCTTTCACATAGCAAGTCTCTGAGTGTGACTCTCCCCCCCTTATAAATTAAAAACTTTATATATAGTTTATAAGTTTATATATAAATAACACCATTATAAATGCTGGAGGCAAAGCAGGGCTTGAGGTGGAAGCTGACTGCTCATGACCACCCATGTAATAACCTCCCAGCCCCCAGTTTGAGCACCCCTGAACTAGAGGACATTGTATGGTGAGAGAAAGATGATAACCCACCACTTCTCCCCCCTTCTGCCCCCAAACCCCAAGAAATACAAATCTAGTTTGAGCTAATCTCATTGATCTGATTATTTTAGCTGCGGGATGCCTCACAGTCTGATGCCACAGACATGGACCTGCATCAGTGTAATTGGCTTTCTTCACCAGAATGGTTTTGGTTTTTACTGGATAAGAAGGGATGGGGAAAACTCTAGGAATTTTGAAGAAAGGGGAGGTGACAAAATCTTAGGGAAATTCTTCTTATGTCATTCGAATGAAAGGGAAATAATTGTTTTCACCACCCATCTCTTGAAGGGATTATTAATGATGAGTTGGGTCTGCCTGTGTACTTACTTGGCCCCATCATGTCAGTACTGAAGATCCTCCCAATCATTAATTAATATATTCTCAGAGGAGCCTGTGGGGTAGGGGAAGTACTATCTCCATTTTACACATGGGGAAATAAGGCACAGGAAGTGTGTGGTACAGTGGAGACTCAATCCAGATTCTACCAATCCTGTTCCAGTGCCTTAACTACAAAATTAATCTTCCTCCTTGGCTATGTGGCTGTGACCCTGTCCATACTAGTATGAGGAGCTAGAGCTAGGAGCGCGGAAGAAAATGAAGCAAAAGAAACCTAGGCTGAATGTGGGGGGAAGAGGAGAAAGGGGGAAATATATCAAGATATGTGAGGAAGGACTCTCCCAAGGAAACTGTTTGATGCCCCCATGAGTTGAGAGGTTTTAAATTATATTGGATGAAGCATTAGACAGCCTGCTGTAGGAAAGAATCTTGTGCAGGACCTAAACAGATAGATACACTCTCTAGAAAGCAGAGCTAAAAGAAATCTAACACTATGACCTTGAAACATCAGCCTGCTTTGTATGGTGCAGTACTATAGGGATATGCTAAATAATGAATCAGAATTATAGTTCTAGCACTGAATGTTCTTGCTTTTTGGTCCCTTAACATAACCATTTTAGATATGAAATTGAACATCTCTGTTATGCAGAAGTATTGTGAGGAACAGGGTATCTAATCTGTATAGCTACTGAGGACAGCTTCTCAATCTTGTCTGTTATATCAGTGATTTGCATTGGGGAGAAGCAAGGGAATTTCCCTTCTTTAAATTTATATATTCCATGGGTCTAGAGACTTGGATAACATACCAGCCAGGGACTGTGTTTTTTTCCTCCTCTGTATATTTTCTGTTTGAATTATGTATACTGTGAACTGCAGTTTATCTTGGCATTGTTTGTAGTGTTCTAGCTGTGTTGGTCCCAGGGTATTTGAGAGACAAGGTGGGTAAGGGAAAAGATATTACCTCACCCACCTCATTGATCTCGGTACACAGTTTCAGGATCAATGTGTAGTTCTCCTGTCCTCTTCTATGAATATCCCAAAACCACTGTCTTACTACACAGCATTGATTTTTATTGAACTCCAGTTAACTGAAGGACTAAAATGTTGCAAGGGTAGTACTGTGTGTTCTTAATGACACTGCTAGCCAGTCAACTTTTAAAGGGAATCATTTGTATTGTAATGCTGGCTGAGCTGCAAAGCTGCTTGCCTTGACAGGGCTTTGGGAACCTGGAGCACAGTTTCTCCTGAGCCATTAGCATTCTCTTAAATTATAATTTATTTGTCTTACACTAGCACTAATTGTGATCAGAGCCCAACTGTGCTAGGCACTGTACAAACACGTAATAAGAGATGATCCTGTCTTGAAAAGCTTATTAAATTGACAAGAGAGCTAAAGGCTGCGAGGGGGAAACGAAGGCACATAGAGATGAAGTGACTTGCTCAAGGCTACATTTAGGTCAGTGGCCAAACCACATCCCTTGTGTCCCATCCAGTGTCGTATCCACTGGGAAATGCTACCTCCCTAAAACTAAAATTTAGGTTCCAGCTAGCTGGCCCTGAAGTATGCAACTATATTGGAGGGTGCACAGTACAGACTTAAAAGCCCAACTGGGCTGGCTTCTGTAGTTTTCCAAACCCATCACTTTACAGGTGATTTCTGAGACCTCAATAATCAAGGATGCACTTAATATTATTAACAACTCTGTTCCTCTGAAGCTCTAGCAGGTTACAGTGTCAGCAAGTCTCATAGTTATCCTTGGAAGTGCTCATTCTTGTTATGAAGAGACCTTAAAGAATTTGAATTATTTGGTGCTGAATTCTGTCTGAAATGGTGACACAGGAATCCAAATGAATAAACACCTATGCTCTCGTCACACATATTGGACCTTCAGAGTAGGTGAAACTAGACAGTTTTGATTTTTCTCTGATTTTAAGAGCTGCTAAGACCTTTAAGATAGAGTATTTTTCATAATCGGGTATGGACTTGTTAACTCTCTTCTATTGTGTTCAGATCCTCAGCATTTTGTCTGTTGGACAATATGATTAAATGCCACCTTCTGCTTTCTGATTTAAAAAGGGTATTGAAACCTCATAGTAGAGAGTAATGACTCGAATTAAGAGATGCTGATTGATCTTTTGCACGTACATAAAGAACATACAGGTGATATTATTGTTATTTTTGTACCAAGGAAGAGCCGATTTAAAAAAGCACAGACCACAAAGGTTTCAAATCTATTTAACCAGGCTAACACAAACTAATTGTATAGGCTGGTTTTAAGACAGGTGTCCACATAACAAAGAACACTGTTATAATTGACACGTATGGCAGCCTTTCTCAGTCAAGAGATAAAGATTAGAGACAAACTGAACTTTGACTCCCATGGGTCTTCCCTCCTGGTCTTGTTGATGGGCCAGTGTAGGGAAGTTGCACTGTGGCTACAGAAGATTTCAGTCTCCAGAGCTGCTGTTTTAACTCCGTTCATGTAGACATAATCCAACTAAACTTCTTTAAAATGTCTAGCATCAAATTTTCAGGCCTTAACCTGCATTCCAGTTCTGAGCACCTAATGGTAATTCTGAATACTCATGTACCTATAATGAAGGGCTCAAGATTAAAAGTCACCTTGGGAAAATTTCTTCCTCAAAGTTACTTAATAAAATGTATTAAAATGTACTAAATAAATCTGATTTTATTTAGTACAATGTTTTCTTATTTTTGATGTAACTTAGTTAAAGATGTGGTTTGGTACCTCTCCCATGTTGAAACTTATCAAATCTTTTTATAAGCACTGGCCGAACTTAAAAGGAGTAGAGCAGGTATGGTATGTTACAGTTACTATGTCCCTCTCTAGTAGCTAGTCTACAGAGAATAAGAACCCAGTATTGCTATACGCTGACGGTACTCCAGAAGCTGAAGTGGCAGGGGCCTTTGCTTTTTTCCACAGATTCACTCCTCACTGATGACTATTAAACTTTTAATCTTGTTTTAAACATCTCAGGCAAGGACTCTATTATACTTTTGTTTGTGAGGGTAACCCTGTGTGTGTTTTGTGCATAATGCATAGTGAATACATGACGGGGTACTATGATGTAAAGGCTTTGTTGGGGTGGCTACTTTAGCCATGAGTGGAGCTGGTTGAAGTAATGAGAAATTTCAAAATTCAAAAGTTGATTAAATTGTTATAAATTTCCCTTTCTCCGTGTTGCTCTGCTTCCTATAGAGCTAATAGAAATCTTGTGAGTTTTGATGAAATGTTGAATATTTGGGCGGGGGAGATTAAAAACAAAACAAAAATCCTAAACTTTTCCCCACCAACTTTCCTAGTGAGTTTTGCAGGTCATCTCAAACAAATATCTATAAAATCGTAATACCACATTTTCACATACACTATGTATATAGTGTATGTATTGCATATTCCTCAATTTTTGTGTGTGTATATATACACATACACTGTTTCTTGGACTTTTGATTTTACCAACAAAGGGATACAACTGTACAAATCTTGGATGGAAGAGAAAATGATAAATGTAAGCCCCCTCTAAAAAAACTCTAACATTATTTTTCTCGACTTAAAATGTGATTACTTAGGGTCTTCCAGGGTTAGAAGCAATTAGGGTGTTTTTTCTTGGGAAGCTGGGAATTTCTCCTGTGCCGTGTAAGAAATCTCATGTTTCTAGCTCTGCAGAATTGTGAGATATCAGGCCATAAACCTTTAATGACTGAATATTGCCTGCTTTGGCCAGTGTAACTTGTGTGTTGGGGTGGTGGAAGGGGACATGAAGGTGGGACTCTCTATTTGGAAGGTAGTAGGAACACTTGTGTGGTCAATTGATCTTAAACAACGATGGCAGTTTTGAAGCTGCTTAGTGCTACAGGGTTTGAAATGTAAGCATAAATCCAAGTGCAGATGGATTAGTATTAGTGGGCAGAGAATAGGTGAGACTGTCAAAGGTGTATGATAACTTGCATTTATCACATGGCTCTAAAATTTATCATATGTCTGTTATCTGCGCACATGGTGTGTGTGCGTGACACAGACACACTCAATTTTCAGATGCAAAATATGTGAAACTGTTGACTTAATAATTTAGGGATGTTTTCTTAACCTTGTTCTTTATATAGTATATCGTTTGGTTTGGAGTTCTTGTCTTTTTGATTGTGGTGTTTTTAGAAGAACTTCACAGATCATGATTTTCAACATGTGTGAGCGAACTAGGAAAAAAGCTTTTTAAGAGAAACTTTAAAAAATAATCTTTTTTACCCCCACTACAGATGCTCGAGATGCGGAGCAACTGAGCAAGAATAATGTTACACACATTCTGTCAATCCATGATGGTGCTAGGCCTATGCTTGAGGTAAGGGGGAATCCATCATGCCTCTCGTTAACCTGAACATGAAATAATGGCCTGTCAACCTTCATTTAATTTGATCCTTATTACAATTGTTTGACACAATTTTCCATATTTTCTCTTGGAAACATTTGGCAGTCACAGTTTTGTGAGTCAGTCACAGTTTTCATCACTGGTATTGTTACAACAGGCAATCCCAGCTGTCAAAGGAGGATTCAGTTACGGTGTTTTATCGATTGACATTCTGTTTTATCAGAGAGACAAGGTGGGGGAGGTAGTATCTTTTATTGGACCAACTTCTATTGGTGAGAGTGCATGTTCTTCGCCCAGTAGCAGAGATTACTAAATATTCTGTGTTGATTTCTAGGATGTTAAAACCCATTTAAAAATATCCCTTTACCATAACATGCCCCTTGCTAACACTGCACGGCAAATTATTTGTGCAAGAGGCTTCAAATCCTTTTCTATCTAAAATGTAATTATCCAGGCTTGACAAAAAAAAATGCCATAGCCTAGTAGCCTGGAGGGAATACACCTGTGCTGCTACACCCCAAAAAACCACTCATTCAATTTACGTGGGCAGATATTTGCCCCCTCTGCAAATTAATCCATTCCTTCCCCCATTTTATTTTACTTATTGTGAACGCATTCACAATATAGAAGATGACTGCTGGTGCTGCTGCCGCTACTGCTCTCCTTCTGAGCTTATATGGCTTTTTTTTGTTTGTTTCCTAATGCCTCCACCAATCAGAGGGCTTCTGCTTCTAGTGCCATTTCCCCTCCAGTAAAAAAAAAAAAAGCAATGGATTTAGCCACTCCTGTAAAATTTCCATTTGACCTGGCAAGCCAGTGAATAGGTTGGGTGTATTTAAAAAAAAAAAAATAAAAAATTCCTACCTGGGGAAAGTAGGGTTGCCAATTTTGGTTGGATGTATTCCTGGAGGCTTCATCACATAATCTTTTAATTAAAAATTAATCTTTAAGTCCTGGAGACTCCAGGACAATCCTGGAGGGCTGGCATCCCTAGGGGAAAGGCAGTTAAAGGTGAACTGGAAGATTGTCTTTGGGCTCAGTACTATGGATCAGCAAAACTAAACCTGCTCACTTTTCGTTGAGTGTGTGTTTGACTTATTAAGGTGTGCCTACTGTATGGTCTAAAAACACATTGAATTTCAAGACTGCTGTTAACTGGAGTGATATACAGATGCGCTCACTAAGGAAGATGTAATCACACTTTTATGTCTGTGCTGCATGTGTTTCCTCTGGGGTGTTGTCCTCTAAAATAAACAGAAGCTTGCATCTGTCTTGTCATGATTTTCTAGTCAAGGTAGGGGAACTACTCGATGCAGAATCCAGGTGCAGTCACAGTATTCAGTCTACAACCTCCTCTCATGTGGAAAACCAGTGTTACAATTTGTCCACAGTTCTTTAAGTAGAAGGAAGATTGCAAGTTCCTTTTGTTTTTCAGCAAAATTATTCTTAATTACATTCTAATTCATGGTTTTAATCCGGTATTCACTTGCAACTAAGTACTTACTGATGAATGAAGGTTTAGAAAATCTTGTTACAGCACTTCATTAGTTCTATTTAGGTATGATTACTTGTCAGGTTGTAATTAAGATATGTGGAAAACAATGTGTTGGTACTTTGCAGGTTGTCTTGCTCTTGGAGCATTGAAAAATAATGTTTAGGGTTTAGGCTTTCTATAAATTCTATTTGCTTTTAAAAGATTAGTAGCTTTGGCTTTTTCTCTTGCCCACTGAAGTCAACGCAAAGCTCCTATTGACTTCAATGGCACAGCGTTAAGTACCCAGTTCTGTAGCTGCTCTGTCAGTGGAAATTCCGCTGAAATCATTTTGAGATTAATACAGGGAATGACACTAAAATCAGACCCTTAGTAAACTTTCCTGTTTACATAGATACCGTAGTCACCCCTAAAAATCAAGATGGTAGTTGAATTGAACATTTGCCAAAGTGTGTGGGGTTTCTTTTGTTTGTTTTTTAATTTCCTATCCTAAGTTTAAGAAATATTACAACTATAGTACATTAAAGTGATGGCTGTATTCAGTTAGCTGATGATCAGTACTATGAAGTCACATTCATTTTCACATAATGTGTTAAGTTCTTTTTATTGACCAGAGAAATTGTGTTCATTCTAGTGAATCATGCTTAAAGGGTCACTGTCACATAGGTTAGCTCTCAAAAATTCTTGCAAAACCTACTACCACCAGGTGTTACTTTTTTTTTTGTAATTTCAATAATAGTTTTTTGTTTTGATGTAATAATAATTCTTCTGTTCAATTTGAATATGCAACACGGTAGCATCTTGCTAGTACATGAGAACCAGAAAATGGAATTGATCAGTCTAATTTCATTGTCCACGTTGAGTCAAGAATAAAAAGCAAACAGCCATCATAAACAATGAATAGTATATTTGGTGTATATTCTAAAATCTAATTTTAAAAATCTGTTGATGCCGATGAGGACATTTTTAAAAATTATTTTTGACCTGAGAATGATTGTGTATTTGAACCAAATACCTTCTTAACTTACTTTTTCCTGTTCTGTTCCTTGTTTTCTGCACTATTAGGAAGTATGAAATGTCTGTTGCCCCCCCCCAGCTTGCCACATCAGGAGAAAATGATTGCCTGGTTGGGGTTCATATAAAAATGCTTTAAGTTTTTTCAGGAGAAGTAATTGAGAAACCAATAACTTTTCAGTGGGTTTTGCTTTCAGAAGCCCTTTCTGGTAAAGTTCAACTCTATAAATCCTCTGAGTTTGCTATTTATAGTTAGCTAATTAACAAAGATTAGGCTCAGGAAGCTATTGCTTGCTTTCAGAATGGAATATCTGCAGACAAAATGTTTTTAAAGTAAATAAAGTCTTGTATTCTACTTGTGGTACAATAAAGGCTGAAAACAGCTTTTTAAAGGATTGTTTTTACTTTTTGTAGGGAAGGGTATGGCATATTATAGGTATGTGGTGAAGCTTGACATGACTTAAATTGGAAAAAAATTAACAGAACATGAATTGAGCAATCTGTCACTGTTGTGTGCTTAGTTCTTTTGCTCTCTATGTAACACTATTTTAATGTAAACTAGCGTTATCTTTTTAAAAATAGAGCCTGTAATTAATTTGTTTATGAAGCCCCAATATTGAAGCAATCTAAATGCTGAACACAGTCTTCATACAGATATCCTAACAATGCATACAGCCATTTGTAATTTAAAAAGACATGCCTAAAAGTTTGTCAGGAAAAAACGGATGAAGTGATTGTGAACACACTAGGGACTACAAAATATGATCATGAACTACTTCAAATGAGTGCCCCCAATAAACAGGGACACGTGGGCCACCATTCTCTATCTACCAGCATCATTTCTGTTTTTGCCTGGGCAAGGAGTAGGTATCTCTGACGTGTTAGTTCCTCAGTATAATCCAAGCATTCTTCCAGAGCAGAGGCTGAACTTGCATGGCCACAGATGATTGTTCATAGATCTGTATGTCACATAAAATCCTAGCATAGAAGATGCTCAGATTCCAGGCCATCACCTCACCAATTTGCTGCTTGGATGCTTCAAATTCCAGATATAAACTCCCAGTGCTCTCTGGGCATGAGAAATAACAAGGAATCGGTGAGCTGGGAGCCTCCTCTAAAAGATAATATCGGTCAGTGATCTGATGGATTCCATGGCATGAAGGGAATGTCAGCTATGTCTTAGCATCAGCGCCTCTGATGCAACAAGCAATAGGCTCTGGTGGTGACACAGGTTTGGAATAGACCAAGCATCAACATGCACAGGTTGATGGGCAGACCTGACCCAGGGGTGTGATCAAAATATCTGATCTTCAGACAAAACCCAGAGGTGAGAACAAGCATGTAACCAGCCCTGCTTTTTGCAGTGGAACACCCAAAAAGTCCGTGGCTTCCAGGAATATCCAAGCCATTAGAGTTGTTGTCCACATGCACTCTGAAACCTCTGAAGACAAGAATCTACAAGGGCTCTCAGCAATGCCAACACATGATCCTTAAAGCTGATTTTTACAGGTTTCATTTCTGTTGCTGTGGGCTGACGGGAGATAACTTATCACAAAGGACCCGACACACAGCCCACTGAAGTCTCTTCATTGACTTCTGTGGGCTTTGAATCTGTCCCAAGGCAGGTACAACACTGGCAGCAGGAATACGAGCTTTCCCCATATTGTTTCATGGTGGAAGTTTTTTTGTTTTTATTTTATTCTTGTGTTGCATTCATTGAGGTGCTCAGAGCCTGCAGTGAGGAGCACAACATAAATACTGAGAGAGTGCATTTGAGTGCTTTCTATTTTAGCAAATGTCACCCAACTCTGCTTTGGAGCAGGGCTTAAGTAAGTTACTATTAGCCTGTCTTCAAGCATTAGCTTAACTTAACAAAAAGAAGGTTTAAAGAGTGATTTGATCACGGTCTATAAGGACTTGCCTGGGGAACAGAAATTTGATAGAGGGCTCGTCAGTGTATCCGACAAAGGTATATAACAAGATCCAATGTGTGGAAGTTGAAGCTATACAAATTCAAACCTAGAAAGAAGATGCATATTTTTCACAGACAGGGTAATTGACCATTGGAACAACTTATCAAGGTTTGTGGTGGATTTTCCATTACTGGCAATTGTAAAGTCAAGGCTGGATTTTCTCTAGAAGATGTGTGCAAGAGAAGTAGCCATATGTCCATCAAGAACTGGATTGACACTATGAACTCTTCTTATAGAATTCAACAAATGTTTGTCAGTTACTAGTATATTATTTTTGCTGTTAAGCTAGACCAGAGTTGAAACAGTAAGTGTATGATTCCTATTCTCCCGTCTCCTGGGGTTATCTGGTCTCCTGACATTAATTTACAATATTCTGTCATTTGCAGACTGGCCTCAGTACAGAACTTGCTGTGATGGAACACTGTTGTATAGCAGATTTGTATGGGGGATTTGATGACAGCCTTCAACTACCTGAAGGGGGGTTCCAAAGAGGA